TATGAAAAAAAGTGAAATACCTATTAATATATTGTATGTGTTTATTGTTTATAAAACTATTATATTATAAATGTTAAAGTTTGTTTCATTATGAAAGGTCAAAAGATATTTTAAAATTTCTTTTTTTTTCAGATTAATTACATATTAATATTCCAAAAATTATCATATTAGTTGTTGAAACTCTATATATAACTGATCTTGTTGGTTATACTAGGTTTGTGATCAGTAAGTAAGTTCGTAGTTTAAACAAAGAGTAGGTTAGTAGTTTCAATGGGTAGGTTCATAAATCCAACAATATAGGTTTATGTAATTTCAATAGTAGCAGGTTCATGTTTTTAGTAGTATGTAGGTAGACTTTGGATTTTATTTTTTATATTCTTTAATATTAACATTAACCGAAAATATTCAAGATATTTACTAAACATCTAGCTAAATAGTTTGAATTTCATTTAATATTATATAAGGGCAGTATCATTTATCACCTGATTTTTTTTATCAGAAGCTTATCCCCTCCCCCTTTTAATATATAATTTAATCAGGTCTTTATATATAATTTTAAAATTTTTACCCCCTCCTCTCCTAAAAAATCACCTGAGTTTTGTCATGTCTCTAATGATAACAATAAACCTATTGATATTGATTTTAATAATTTCTTCAGAGGATAGGTTTATAGTTTCAATAATAGATGTTTTGTAATTTAAATAGTTGGTAGGATAATTATTTGTGTAGTAAATAGTTTAATAGTTTTAGCAATATGATTCATGAACTTTAATGGTGAGTAGGTTTGTTATTTTATGGTTTGACAATAGATGAGTTTATGATTTTAATAGTAAATTGATTTACATTTTATTAGCAGGCAAGTACTAGTATAACGTATTTATTTATCTATGAGTTAATTCAGAATAACTGTAAACTGCCATATACAAGACCTAGATATATTATATATGGCAGTTTACAGTAACTTTTTTGTTCGAAATTCTTATTTGAATCAACTCAATTCTGAATTGAGCAGGATTTCATTCTATTATATATACATCTTTATTAATTATTGTATTGAGCCAATAATTACAGTATTGGTATTAGAATTTATGTAACAATCAGTATTGTAATCAAATAATTCAATCTGATTACAGAATTATTAAATTAGTGAACTTTATGTATAAAAAAGAATAGAAGCACAAAATAATTTTCTTTCCAATAATTATAAAAATAAATAATATGATATAATTAGTGTATATTAGAATTAAAGATATTAATGATAACATATAAAGTAGTAGTTAGTATCAGGTTTAAAGATGTAATGAAATTAAAGAAAAAAGCTATAAAAACCTTCATATAGATTTTTTATAAAAACAATTTATTCATTATTAAAGACTTGCTAAATTAGTAATATTTATAGAATGTATGTATTTTATTAGGGTTGAGAAAGATAAATGCAAAATTAGATTATTTTTATAAAATTGTAGCAATTCTGATTAATTATATTAAATGATTAATTGGTGTAAATATAACATAATTAAGATCAAAATATATAAATAATTAAACTTATCTGAGTAAGTAATTTATGTGATGCTTTTGTGAATAACAACAATAGTTTTATGATTTTATAGTTAACAAAAACTTAAGTTTTTTTTATGTATAAATATATCTGAAAAATTAAAATATTGCACAAATTGACTTTTAAAAGTCTGTAATTTTAAACTATTATAGTTTATTATGAATAAGTTTATAATTAATGATGAAGAAGCCTTTCTTCTTAATTAAAAATGTAAGGACAATTTATGAATTTTCTTTTAGACCACAATCTAAAGAAGTTTCAACAAAAAAAAAATCTGATAATAAGAAATATGAAAATATGAAAGAACTGACTGTAATCTAGAATGGCTAAAGCAGTTTCTATAGATAGACCAATGTATTATTGATAAAAAGCTCCTTCTATTTTGTACTTAGTGTGAAAAATTTCTAAGTGCTGATAATATTTTTGTAAAAGGTTGCAATACTTTTCGAAAAGATTATCTTAAATAACATATAAAAATAAATGATTATATAAATGCAATAAGAACTTTAATCAACCAGCTAATCAAATAGATTTATTTACTGAATTATCTATTCAAGCAGATTGTAATAAATTAGAAATTATTTCAAAAATGTGATATGTATATTTATGTGCTCAAAAACATCTTCTAATTTTTGCATATCCAGATATTATTAATTTAATGAATATAAATTACAAGAATCAAACAAAATTAGTATATGAAAGCGAGATTCAAACTTTAGCACCAACATTTTTTGGACTAAAAAAAGAAAAATTTAGTTTTAATTCTTTAAAAGGTTTTTCAAATTATGCAGAATATACTAATTCTGTTTTCGAAGCTACATTTTTGCATGCAATTGCAATAGTAATTGAGGAATCAGTTTTGGAAGAAACAAAAAAATTGTCTGCTTGGAGTTTATTAATTGATGAAAGTAATATAATTACTCATGATAAAACTTGTGCAATTATAAGCAATCATATGGCAAATAATATTTCTGTACTTTGATATCTTGGATTAATTGAACTAAAGGAAGTAGATGCTGCTGAAATTATGTATAATTTAAATAATTTTTTTTGGCAAAAATGTTAAAACCTTTAAAATTATTACATTTTAAAAGTGATGGTGATAGTAAAATAATAGGTTTGTATTATGTATTTTAATATATATATTAATAATTTATATTATTTATATTTTTAATTATTATTTTAATATTTATATTTAGGAGTTCGAAATGATGTATCTACAAAACTTAAAAAGTTAAATCCTTTTATAAGTAATTGTTACTGTATTGCTTATTGATTAGCATTAGTAGGAAAAGATTTATAGATATATCATATTTTCTTGATTATGAAGTTACAATTAAAGAGCTTTATGCATATTTTGTTAATTCTCATAATCAATGGCAAAATTTTTTAATATTTCAAGTACAAGATGAAGAATTTCTAGAATTATTAATTTTACAAGCTGTATCAACCTGATGACTTTCCTTATCTAACGCTGTATCTAATTTGCATCAAATAATTTTTTCAATAATAAATGCACTTTAAGATGATGCAACAAATAATTTTATAGCTAAAGGACAATTATATGCACAAAATTTATTAGAAGAGCTTGATGCTGATTTTATTTTAGCAACAAAATTTCTTGCAGATATTTTTGAGAGCTGATACTTATTATGTAAAATTAACCCTTCTCCAGTGACAATAACAGGTTCTAAAGTAATCATAGTAGAAACTTTATATGATTGATTATTTTAGAGTTTGCAATTGTCAAAAAATTGATTACTTTAGAACTTGCTATTGTTACTAGAGAGGGGTTGATTTTATGTAATAAGTATCAGCTTCCTTATCAATATTATCAGCATTATGTAAAATATTTCAATCTGATTATATAGCTCTTTCAGATATTTATCAAGAATTAAACAAAACTATTAATTCTATTATTATTAAATTTATTGGATATCTTGATAAAAATATTGAACCAACTTTAGAAACACATTTATGTGATTATTGTATACAATATTCAGTTAATACAATTCCTAGTTTTGTTAAAGATTTTGCTAATGCAATAATAATTAATTTACAATATTGATTTCCTAATACAACATTATATAATGCTATGCAGATTTTTAATTTTAAATAAGTTCTAATAACAAATAAGTACTTTTGGTGAAGAAGAAATTAAATATCTTGCTAAATATTATAGGAAGACCAAATTGAAAATAGTTATGTATTTTCAGCAATTATTAATCAATATAAGCTTATTAAAGAATAGCGAATTGCTAAATTTTTTTTTTTTTTAACCTTCGCAATGTCGCGTGAAGGCAGATTTTTATTAGGTATTTTAGATAGTATATTGTTGGTTAATGAGAATACATTTTAGCCATATCTGCATCTTTTAAGTGTCTAATTAAGTAGCTATCTATTACTAGGGTCTATACTAGATACTGTACCTGTAATCCCTATTATTTGAATTAGCCATTTAAACTCTCTGATGTCTTCTGTTTTGTATCATCCACCTCAATCATGCCAGTATATAACCTTGTGTTGCTTCTTATTGAAGACTACTCAGATCGACATCTGCTATACTACTTGTGCCCTAATTCTATAGATAATTCAGTAGGGTTTTCATACTACTGGGTTGTCCTAGAGAGAGTATAGTACATACTCCTCTAATCTTTCTATATTCCATGCACTTCCAGATTAGACTATGAATACCTTCCACAGCAGCAGCCGAAACCACTACTAGCAGTCAGGGCGAACCATTAAACTACACAATTCCAGTATCTGGTGCCCTTGCAAGGTTCGTTCTGATCCTGATACCCACATCAAACTGGTCCTTATATCGATCCCTCCTCAACTACCAAACCAGTTAGCCCAGACAGGTTGTTGTATCTAGGCTTTAAATGTCTTCTGGTTTTACTTCTCTTGATTCCTAATTTCGTAACATAGGACTTTTTCCTCCAGTGCGACTCCAGTAGCCAGGTTGGTGGACTCTTCTTGCCCAGGGTTTTTGTCTGGTTCTTCGGTCTCCAGTTTCTGACTTTTCTGCAGTACTGTTGAAGATCTTTACTACTTCTTTACTTGGGTCTTGCCAAACAGGTTTTAATTACTCTGGTTCCTTGGATTTGGATCGCCCAAGAGCTTCCATTTCAAGATAGTAGTACCAAGATTACAGATAATATACCCAACCGATCATCGAATAATTGTTATCAGTACACAGACCTAATTTTCTAAAAATGTCTCCAGTAGGATTCGAACTCTAGACCTGCTGCTTGGGGGTGACAACTTAACCACTACTCTAAGTTGCCACACCCTTGTTAAATTAATTTTATGCAATTATACAACTTTTAAATTTATTGAAGGATGAGAGTTTATTTTTCATACTACTTAATTTATTACTCAATATCCTAATTTAACACAAATTATTTATTTAGCATTAATTATTCTTGTTTCAAATGGAAATATTGAGTGTATATTTTCTCAACAAATTTAATTAAAACAAAACTTCATAATCAAATGCAATTAAATACACTTAATTCTCATTTAATGATAGTTATAAATGGTTCTTTTTTAGATAAATTTGATTTTGAAAAAGCATATGATTTATGAAAATGTTGTCCTAGAAAAAAATAAAATTAATTATTTTATTATATTGTAAATAAAATTATAATACAGTAAAAAAAACTTTATTAAATAAAATTTTAATTTTCCGCATATTAAATTTAGTTTCTGCAAGTATATTATTAATTAAAAATATAATCCGCAAATTAATAAATAATTCTGCAACTTTTATTAAAATTTTAAAAGTATTCTGTATATAATTTTAAAATTTAATTTTAAGCACTAGTTATAACTACATAACAAATAATTAAATTGTTTATTAAATTTGATATCACAATAATTAAATATAGCAAATCAGCTAATAATTATGTATTTCTATATTTGGGTTACATTGTTAGCAGATATTTGGTTAGCATACACTTATTTGTGCAAGTGATACAAACCCAAAAAAGGAAGATAGCCAATCAGAGTGCGTAAATTTTGTGAATTTTGAATCAGCCCAACATGTGCGCAAAATGAAGAAAAATATAAAAAAAGTGAAAATACTCGAAAACTAATGTTTAAATTAACTTTGGGGCACTAATTAAAAATGACAGGAAATGAATTTTACTTATAGAAACCTTCTAAACCTAACCCTAACACGTCTAACCCTATTTCTAACTAATTCTAACTAAAATCTTAATAGATTTTTATTTTTATAATAAATTTCCTTTTTGGGTTTGTATCACTCACAGAAATAAGTATTTCCATTTAGTTATACAGGGTACAGTAATAATTTTACACGCTATATATTTAAGCCCAAATTTAGAATAACCGTTATACACTTCG